TGGGGTTGGGAAGATGGGAGATGGGAGAAAAATAAAGAGGGGGGGAGGATGAGAGGTAGGAAGGGGGAGGGGGAAATGAGAGGTAGGGAGAGAGTGGGGTAGAGGGAGGAGGAGAGGGAGGAAGGAAAAAGGAGAGTGGGAGGTTGAGAGATAGGGGAGAGGGTGGGGTGAAGGAGAAGCAGAGAGATGGTTAGGGGTTAGATGGAAAGAGAGGGAATGGGGTGGGGTGACGGAAGGAGTGGGGGAAGGTAGGAGAGTGGAAGTAGAACGGGGAGGAGGGAGGTGGGGGGGCAGGGAGGATGGGGATAGGGAGGTTACTGGCATTTTCATATCAGTTGTGTGTGTGTGTGTGTGTGTGTGTGTGTGTGTGTGTGTGTGTGTGTGTGTGTGTGTGTGTGTGTGTGTGTGTGGTGTGTGCCACACACACAGTCCTGGCTGCCCTGCTAGAGTAACAAAAATTAATTACTTTATTAATAGCCTGTTTGACCTTATTAACCACACCTCTCTCTCTCTCTCTCTCTCTCTCTCTCTCTCTCTCTCTCTCTCTCTCTCACATATTCATTTGTCAGGAAAGAAACAGAAAATCAAAGAACAGAGGCACAAAGAGAGAGAGAGAGAGAGAGAGAGAAACACCATGACGTGTTAGCGAGGAAGGTCAGGTATGTATGGCAGTATGTATGGCAGAGGCTCTGTGCTCTAACCTAACCTAACCTTATTCATGTCACTTCTACTGTATATTCTCCCTCCTCCTCCTCCCTCCTCCCCCTTCCTCCTCCTCCTCCCCCTTCCTTCTCCTCCTCCTCTCTCTCTTTCCACCTCAGTTATTCACGGGGCCGGATTCCAGAGTGGGCAAAGTGGGCAGCTGCCCAGGGGCCTCCACAATCTGGCGGCCTCCATATTACAATATTTTATTTATTTGTTTATTCATTTGGGTTATTTTTATTTTCATTCTTTATAATTCATGTTTATCTATTCCACGCATTCTGGACAGAACCATTATTTGAGTAGAGGTTTATCTGATTAATAATGCAAAGAATCATCTCTCTGTAATAACTAATAATATATTCTTTTCTGTGAAGTCTCTGAAAATTTTTGACATGTGCGGTAGTAGCTATATCAGGGCTGGTCGACTTGAACCACATGAACGACTCCAGTCATGTCTCACTTGTGTGTGTGTTGGGGAAATTTGTACACTATCAATAAATATACAGTAAGATAAAATTTCTCAATGTTCTTATTTCCTCAGTATAACTGCATATGGCTTCAAATTCTCCACAGAAGTGTTCAAATTTAATTCTTTCCTGGGCCTTACAGCGCCCCCGGAACTCCCAGATGTTTAGGCTCGCTTCACTCTGCCACCCCACCCTCTTGGGTAGTTATAATGAGGGGGCCTCCACAAAGAGGCTGCCCATGGGCCTCCACAGGTCTACATCCGGCACTGGTTATTCACATATTCCCCGTCTGCTCAGTGATCAGTTCTTCACACTGTTCTCACCTGTCTATTTCACCCCTTTAACACACCTGGTCTACGGTATAGTCTCAGTGTGGTCTGGACGCCATATTGGTTTTAGTGTTTTGGTCGTAGTTTGTGTGTTGGTTAGATAGGGTTGAGTGTTTGTTTGGTTGTATAAGGTTGAGTGTTTGTTTGGTTGTAAAGATAGATAGTTACATAGAAGAGAGTGATAGAGAGACAGTCATATGCATTGCCACATACACTGCACCAACACTCACATACACTGCACCAACACTGCACCAACACTCACATACACTGCACCAACACTGCACCAACACTACCACACACATACCTCCTGGGTCGGGTTGTCACACATACACAACATTTCCAGTCGTTTGTGTCTTTACTAAATGTCTTAAGTAATCTTGGCTCAAGTTTGGAAACTCGGTCTCTTGCTTGTGTGTTAATGTGTGTGTGTGTGTGTGTGAGGCGACCAGTGCATCCCAATTCCCTCCTTGTAGACAGATAGCCCAGGAGTATTTAAGCACTGCCTGTCAGTAGCCAAGCTATCATCTCTGGCTGGCAGCGCTTTACTCGTATCCCAAATCGGAAGCCGTCGTGTTTGAGGACGAGTGTAGCGCTGCCAGGCGGGGAATAGAGGATGGTGCACAACATTCCTCGGCTTATCGTGGATGGCTGGAACACTGGAACAAACCGACCAGTGAGTAAGTCGGTTCGTGGCGGAGAGAATTATTATTATTATTATTATTATTATTATTATTATTATTATTATTATTATTATTATTATTATTATTATTATTATTATTATTATTATTATTATTTTATTATTTTATTATTATTATTATTATTTATTTTTTGTTGTTGTTGTTGTTGTTGTTGTTGTTATAGGCTTTGTATTATAATTATTAATATACACACGTTAAATCTGAGAGAAGTTTTGTCTGTTTATGTAAATTGTCCTTGTCTCTCCTTCCCTCTCACTTCCCTTACCTATCCTACCTCCTCCCCTCCCCTCTCCTCCTTAACCCCTCCCTTCACCCCTTTCTCCTTCCCTCCCTTCTCCTCCCGCTCTCTCTGATTCAATGAAAAACCTGTCTTTATTTGTAAATTGTCTCTCATTCCTCCCTCTCCCTTCTCCCTTCCATCCCTCCTCCCCATCTCCCCTCCTCCCCTCTTTCCCCTCTCCTCCCTTCAGGAATATATATATATATATATATATATATATATATATATATGTAAATTGCTCCCACCTCATCCCCACCCCTACCCCCTCCCAATCTCCTCCTCTCCCTCTCCTCTCCCTCCCTTCCTCCCCCCTCCCCCTCCTCCTCCCCTCCTCCCCCCCTCCCTCCCCCCCCCCCTCCTTCCTCTCCCCCTCCTCCCCCCCTCCTCCCTTCCCTCCCCCCCCCCCCTCCTCCTCCCCCTCCTTCCTCTCCTTCTCCCCCTCTCCTTTCCGTCCCTCCTCCTCCTCCCCCTCCCTCTTCTCCCCCCTCCTCCCCTCTCCCCCTCCCCCTCCCCCTCCTCTCCCCCTCCTCCTCTCCTTTTCCCTCTCTCTCCCTCCCCTCCTTCCTTCCCCCTCCTCCCCCTCCCTTCCTCTTCCCTCTCCCCTCTCTCCTCCCCCTCCTCCTTTCCGCCCCTACCCCCTCCCCTCCTCCCTCCTCCCTTCCTCCCCCTCCTCCCTCCTTTCCGCCCCCACCCTCCCCTTCTGTTAAACAGGTCGTTCATTTCTCACGCCGTCCCGAACAACGCGACATTTTCTGCCCTGTTTCATACCTTAAGTACTTGATAGGAGGTAGAGCTGAGTACTAGGAGGTAGGTGAGTACTAGGCTGAGGGGGAGTACTAGGGGTGAGGAGGAGTACTAGGGGGTAGGGGTGAGTACTAGGTGAGGGGTAGAGTACTTGGAGGAGTACTAGAGGTAGGAGTACTAGGGGGTAGGGGTGAGTACTAGGGGAAAGGGGTGGAGTATGGGGGTGAGGGGTGAGTCTTGGGAGGTAGGGGTGAGTACTAGGAGGTAGGGGTGAGTGATTAGGTGGGGGTGAGTACTAGGGGAGGGGTGAGTACTAGGGAGGTAGGGGTGGAGTACTTGGAGGTAGGGGTGAGTACTAGGGGTGAGGGTGAGTACTAGGGGTAGGGGTGGAGTACTAGGTGAGGGGTGGGAGTACTTGGAGGTAGGGGTGAGTACTAGGGGTGAGGTAGAGTACTGGAGGTAGGGGTGAGTACTAGGTGAGGGGTGTAATTAGGAGGTAGGGGTGGAGTACTAGGGGTGAGGGGAGACTTGGAGGTAGGGGTGAGTACTAGGAGGTAGGGGTGAGTACTAGGGGGTAGGGGTGAGTACTAGGGGAGAGGGGGGTGAAGGGGTGACGGGATTGAGGCGACAGAGAGGGTGAGGGGAAGAGGAGTGAGGCGAGGAGGGACTGAGGCAAGAGAGGGAATGAGGGGTTGAGGAGAGAGGGGGTAAGGGAGAGGGGAGGGGGAGGGGAGAAAGGGGTGATGAGGAAAACAGGGAAAATTAAATAGGGATATTTTGGAGGATTATTAGGGACAAGGAGGGGGGGTAATATATTGGTAGGGGGTGGCGAGCTCTAGGGTGGGGGAACATGGTGTAGGGAGAGGGGAGGGAGATGAAGGAATAGGGGAAGGTTTGGAGGAGAATAAAGGCAAGGGGAAAGAGTAAGGGGGGTAAGGAAAGGTTGGGGAGAGAAGGTCGGGGGGAGAGGGAGGAGGAGGGAGGGAAGGAGGGAAGGAGGAGGGAGGAGGAAGGGAGGAGGGGAGGGAAGGAAGAGGGAGGGAGGTAAGGTCGGGAGGGAAACTATTGGTTGTCGGAGAAGAGGGTAGTAGTGAGGTATTCTTGGAGAGAGAGAGAGAGAGAGAGAGAGAGAGAGAGAGAGAGAGAGAGAGAGAGAGAGAGAGAGAGATCCATTCTCATAGTTAAAAGAGAATCACTTTGAACTGCCTAAACCTGTGTGTGTGTGTGTGTGTGTGTGTGTGTGTGTGTGTGTGTGTGTGTGTGTAATATCTGACTCATATTGGATCTGTCAGTCCCGTCTCTCTACCGTCACTGCCTTTTGTTTTGTTGTTGTTGTTGTTGAAGGAGAGGTGGAGCGATTGATCTGTCGCGTGTGGGACGGGAGGGAGGGAAGGAGGAAGGGGAACGCGCGCGCGTGTGTGTGTGTGAGAGAGAGAGGGAGACAGGTGGGTGGGGGAGGAAAGGGAAAGAGGAGTATCTGTCCCTGATTAATCGTGTGGAAGGGAAGCATCAGTGTCCTCCCCTGACGTGTATGGAAGAGGAAACATCTCTCTTGTAATTCCCATTCCTTCAAAAAACATATTTCCCATATTTATCTCATCAGCTCCCGCCATTAACCATTTGTTTGTTCACGTGATCTCTCTCTCTCAGCCAATCAGCGGTCGGAAACGAAAACTACGTCACCAAAACACCACAACACAATCGGTTTTGCCTTTGTAACTACGTCCTCCTAATGTGTTCTTACCACTAACCACGACTTGCTCTTCCTCCCCAACAGCCGTGAGCTTCATCAACTACGTGCTGCTGTGCCTGGTGTACACGACGTGGTTGGCGTGTCGCTCGGGGGAGGGGTCGCTGCTCAGGGTGGTCAGGACCAAGGGGCTCAAGTACTTCGTGTTGGCCGCCGTCGACGTGGAGGCGAATTATCTGGTGCTCAGAGCCTACCAGTATACCTCCGTCACCTCCGTCCAGGTACTGTCGCTACTTACCTCTTGGTTCACTGGCTAGGTGCTGTTACTCATCTGTTGATCATCTGGCCAGGTACTGTCACTCACCTGTTGTTCATCTGGCCTGGTACTGCCACTCACCTGTTGTTCATCTGGCCAGGTACTGTCGCTACTTACCTCTTGGTTCATCTGGCCAGGTACTGTCACTCACCTGTTGCCCATCTGGCCAGGTACTGTTACTCATCTGTTGATCATCTGGCCAGGTGCTGTTACCTCATCTGTTGATCATCTGCCAGGTACCGTCACTCACCTGTTGTCTTGTCTGGCCAGCTACTGTCATCACTCACCTGTTGCTCATCTGGCCAGGTACTGTTACTCATCTGTTGATCATCTGGCCAGGTACTGCCACTCACCTGTTGTTCATCAGGCCAGGTGCTGTCGCTACTACCTCTTGGGTTCATCTGGCCAGGTACTGTCACTCACCTGTTGTTCATCTGGCCTGGTACTGCCACTCACCTGTTGTTCATCTGGCCACCAGGTACCGTTACTCATCTGTTGTTCATCCGCCAGTACCGTCACCACCTGTTGTTCATCTGGCCAGGTACTGTCGCTACTTTTACCTCGGTTCATCTGGCCAGGTACTGTCATTCACCTGTTGATCATCTGGCCAGGTACTGTCACTCACCTGTTGTTCATCTGGCCTGGTACTGCCACTCACCTGTTGTTCATCTGGCCAGGTACTGTCGCTACTTACCTCTTGGTTCATCTGGCCAGGTACTGTCACTCACCTGTTGTTCATCTGTCCAGGTACTGCCACTCACCTGTTGTTCATCTGGCCAGGTACTGTCACTCACCTGTTGTTCATCTGTCCAGGTACTGCCACTCACCTGTTGTTCATCTGGCCAGGTACTGTCACTCACCCGGTTCACCTGACTCCATCACCTGGTTTAGTAACACCAAGTCAGGCTCTGGATTTACAAAAGTTCGTATGATGAATATATTCTCGTAAGTGAAAAATGTAAGAATATATCTAACTGGTTGACTTAAACTGAAACATAACCATAACAGTAAAAATGGCATCAAGATTACGCTGAGACTCTATCTGAAATTAATTCGTTCACTTGACATTACTTTCACTGACAAAAATTTACAAGTGTTAAGTGACCGTCTCAAGTTAAGGTTAAATCTAAGTGTGATTAAGCCAGTTAGGTTTGTGTATATGTTATTTATTTACGTGGAATGATCGATGTTACGGACCTTCCATGACATCTTGATATGCCCATTGTTTCTCCAGTCTTTTCTCGGAGGGTCAATATGTTCATAGACGAGGCCATCTATTGACGTACGATGATCCATACGTCCACAATACGACAGTGAGGAGTTGTATACGTCTCAGCTCGGTGTGTGGTGGAGAGGTTAACCCTATGGGGATGATGGTTTAAACTTCAAACGTTAAGGTATATTACTCAAGGGGTTTAAACCACTCCCACCTTAGATAATCAAATCAATGTCCTAAGAATATTAAACCTTCGTCCTTGAGTAATTAAACTTTTATCCTCACGATGTTAAGTCTTCAAATAATCACATCATCCTCCTGTTAAACCCTTCCCCCAAAAATTAAAACTCTTAGCCCTCCATTAAACCCGTCATCTTGATCTACCCAACACCCTTCTAGTCTTATCTCGAAGGTAAACAGATGACGTGTACCTTCCCTCCCCAACCAGCTGCTGGACTGTTTCGTGGTGCCGGTAGTGCTCGCCCTCAGCTGGCTCTTCCTCAAGGTCCGCTACAAGCTCGTGCACGTCCTCGGGGTGGGCCTCTGTCTGCTGGGTGTTGGGTGTCTGGTGTGGGCCAATGTGGAGGACGGCAAGGCGGCCATACCTGGTAAGTGAGAGAGAGAGAGAGAGAGAGAGAGAGAGAGAGAGATTAAAGTGAGAGGTGTGGCAGTCTTAATAATGTGTGTGGCGTTGTGCAATGCTTGTGGGTGTGGTGAATTTATACTGCCTCAGAAGTTTAGAACTTTCCCAATGAGAGAGAGAGAGGGGCGGGAGGGGGGGTTGGGGCTTCGCTAAGAACAAGGGACAGAAGAAATAAAGAATAAGCAGAAGAAATAAGGAAAATAGTAGATAGTTTAGAGGAAACGAGAAAAAAATAGAAGGTTAAAAGAAACTGGAAAAATCGTAGCAGATACTAAGGGAAAACTTTAGGAACCATACATAATAAAACAAACACACAAACAAACAAAACATAAATACAAAAAAAACCAGGAAATTCTAATAATTATACAAAGAAAATAAGAATAAAAATATCAATTACACAAAGAAAAAGGGAAATAATTAGCAACTGTATAGAGAAAATGAATTTGAAAGGGCAGACTCATTCAAAACAAAGAGAATCGCTTAACGAGTATAGGATAGGGGAGAAGGTGTGGGGTATAATTATTAAGATACGTGACCACTGACAATCAGGATTTAGGTAAAGGAATCAGGATGAGGATGAAAGACTCTTATACCCTCGTCTGGATTAAGATGGTGCAATATATAATAATGGTGACGGCCTGATGGTGATAGAATAAAGATGGTATTGGCGTCTTGTTAGTCAGTGGTAAATTCTGTACCAGTTAATGTTTAGTGAGGTAAGTGTTTTCTACCAGTTAATGTTTGGTAGTGTAAGTGTATTCTACTAGTTAATGTTTGGTAGTATAAGTGCATTCTACCAGTTAATGTTTGGTAGTGTAAGTGCATTCTACTAGTTAATGTAAAAATCTTCAGTTAATGTCCAGAAATAGATGGTTGGTTCAGTCTTGTAAGTACAGGATAACATTCGACTTGAAGGTTGATAGTGTGGTATAGTGTGGTGGCCGAGCGAGTATGGCGGTGGTGACTTGTATAGTGAACTGTTGGGTGTACTTCTGTATGGTGAGTGTATTGTGTGTACTTATGTATGGTGAGTATGTGTGTACTAAAGTATGGTGAGCATGTTTACTTATGTATGGTGAGCGTGTGTGTACTAAAGTATGGTGAGCATGTTTACTTATGTATGGTGAGCGTGTGTGTATGTGTGTTTGTGTATAGTGAGCATGATGTGTGTATTTACAGTATGTATGGTGAGTGTTGTGTGTGTGTGTGGGGTGAGTGTGATGTGTATACTCATGTATAGTGACTGTGGGTTGTATTATCTCTTTGCTTATCACCCTCTATATTGTGTCAGTCTTTATTAATTTATCTATATATTATCTTCTCTCTTAATCTCTCTAATCATATATTTATTGTATCTCTCTATATATCTTATTTATGTCTCTCTCCAATCCTCTATTTATCTATTCATTTGCTTATATATCTGTCTCTATCTCTTGTCTCTCTTTATCTCATCATCTGTGTGTCTCTCTCCTGACGAAGTATTTGTGTCTACAGGGGCTGAGCGTCTGCTGGGGGACATGTTGTGTCTGGGTGGCGCCACACTGTACGGGATAAGCAACGTGGCGCAAGAGTACATTGTCAAGACCTACGACAGTGTTGAGTTTCTGGGAATGATGGGTCTATTTGGCTCTCTTATTAATGGCATACAACTGTGAGTATCCTACCACAATTATTATTACTATTACTACCACTATCACTGTTACCCCCAATCACTAGTGGTAGGATGATGTTATTTAAAAGTCACTTAGCTGTCCTGCTGGTCTGAACTTCGATGACACTCATTCGTCCAGTGTTGTTGTCCGAGAATTATTTCCTTTCCTTTTTTCAGTTTTCCTCGACGGGATGTTGGTATCACTATGTGCTGTCACTATACACACTAGATCTCACTGTGAATGGTGGATCATATACACTATCACAGTCCTTTAGAAAACACTGAAAAACATCCCCTCTTAGTGGCACCATTGTTGTGTATCTCTTACCTCCAGGCACTCATGCCAGTTGCTTCCTCCATTTTTTTTTCAATGGAATTATTTTAAAGTTTCCAAAGCAGTCATTTTTATCACCATGAACTGTCCAAGCTAAAGGCACAGCTCTTCACTCTATGAACGTCCTATGGACAGTCAATCACAGTCATGAATACCCCTAATTTAAATTTTCTGAATAAATCTTGACATATGCCAATGATTTTATTTTTGTACTCACACAGCCTATAGTTCCAATCAAGTAGAAAGATTATTTCAATCTTGAATCAAGAATAACCAAAATTGCTGAGTCTATTTACACATTCACATCACTAAGACGACCTTGATGATCTTATGAATTCACTGTCCAATTTCTGTCGCTCAACGAAGGCCCAACTGTCAACACACACTTCGGTACAGAGGTGCAACACGACACACTATGTTGTTTACATTGCCCTGGGGTGAGACCCATGTGTGGAGATGCCTAGGGTGTTCAGGCCATGTATTTGCAATTATCATCTTGTTTTCCATTAATATTTCTCCTCTCTCGTTTCTCATTACCCAACCCCTGTGGTCCTACTTCTGGTGCTAGTTTCCCTTACCCAACTTTTGTGTTAAATTCATTCATTATAATCAGACAGTTATTAAACTCTAGTGTCTTTTGCTTTATTATATTCTTCATAAAATTTCTCAAAGACTTCATCCTCATTATCAATTGTTGGTGCATAAACCTGTATTATTTACCAGCCTCATATACTTTATAGAGCGGTTCTGAGCATCCTCACCCCCCACCCTCCCCCTTTTCATAAGAAAATTTCAATACTTTTTCTTTAGTGCAGTGTAGTACCCAGGCATATTTGTAAAGTAAAAAGTAATTACTATTGACCTCAGAATCTCCTAATATCAAGTGCACATGGCTTCAAAATGCTCATGATATTGGTCAGATTTATAAAAAAATGGGGGTCTTAGCGCCCCCCCATCCCTCAAAAAAAAAAAAAAACACTGCGTGGACTCGCTATGTCCCCCCCACCCACAACTTCTTGGACACCCCACATTTGATATTCCTGGATCCGCCCTGTATAATGTCCTCGCATTCCGTGTTCTAATCTTTATTTTGTGTTTGTTCATTTTTAAACTTTCCTTCGTGTTTAATGTCCAAGGTTTTGTTTTGCTCGTTTAGTACTTGTTAGCTGTCTAAAAAAAAATACAAATATAATAGTCTGTCAACTAACCTAGATTGATTATGAATTAAGAATTAAAGAAAACGAAAAGTTGAAGTATAACTTATATAAATAAGTTGAGGCTGTATTACTTTTATCTTCTTCGCCACTGATCGGCTCGTTAGTCGCTTGGGCTTCTCCATATAATACACTAATTTGTAGCTTCTTTATTTTATGGAAATTTTGGCATAACCCTTAGAAGGTGTCTGCATAACTGTGAGTGGTCGACTAACTGAGGTGTGAATCAGTTGGTGTTTTGAATTAATTACAGTTACAAATACTGAAATGTACCAATGTGTTTAATGTCACTACATATGTAATATATTTCTGCCTTCATTGATAACTTTACATGTAAATTAATTTTCTGTAAAACTCGGCAACATATAACACAACCTGACGTGAGTGTGTGTGGTCGCTACACTGCCATCATACTGCCATGGCATTTATTTCAGCCGTGACTGGTGACCTTCCTAGTAACATCCCTGATGTATGTTCCCCTTTAATGTACGACACTGACACAACCTTTGTCGCTTCTACAATGACCCGTCGCTCAAAGCCCTCACCAGAGCTCCAAGAATCAATCAATATGAATCGAAGGGAAATCACACTGAGAGAAGCTTGGAGACGGGAGTCAGTCAGTTGTCTCACTTACAGCGTTTACTGCCGGGCCTCTTCTGGTGCTGAAACAAATAAATAGCTACAATTAGAGCTTCGCCTAACCTCAGTATTTATGTTTCAAGAATACATTTCTCGCGTGTATATGTAAATTGAAACTTCATACCAAACTTTTCTTTTCATACATTACTTACTTTTACTTTTATCCTCTAAAAACAATATTCAACACATAACTGCAGGTGTTATATCGGAGGAATATTGCTTTTGTCATCTCACTTCCACATTAAAAAGAATTTTTTTTTATGACACTTCAAATTAAATACCCAAATGAGAAAGATATCCTCGAAACATGAATAATAAGGTTAATTGAATCTCTTCTTGCTTAAAATATGCTTACATATCCAGGGTAGCTAACGGTGGCTGACCTCTGGCCAATAATATAAGGACTGTGACTCGGTCAGGCGTGAAACACTACCAAACTCCCACTCCCAGAACTCATTATGTCGGAAATATTGGCGTCATATTTGAAAAAAAAATGGGCACTGATTTTTCTGATACTGTACTTTGTTAATTATAACTGATATTATGGAAGACATAAAACTCAGGCGGCTGGTGATGTACAGTTATATCTGCACAACTCACCTGAATTTTCATTTGTGAATGTTAAAATACCTCGCCAGTGCAGTTATTATACAGAGTCAGAAAAATAAGATTTTATTGCTGTGAAATACTACTGTTATTTCGTAGGTCAGCTCATGGTCAGGTGTTGAGGGTGTGGGAGTCATGAGTGTGGCTATTGATCTTGACTTGACTTTGGTGTATTGACTTAAAAAAAATGGCGCTGATTCTTATACATCTACGAATAATCTTTGGAATATGTCGTGTATAGGGCGGGTGATCCAACTAAAAACAAGTTACAGTATAATAGGCCTTAATTAACAAGATATACTGTTTACTTCAAAGTGGGACAAGGTGAACTAAGTCCAGTACTGATTGGTATTTGTATATTGATGATGTACTTTTATTGTTTTTTATTTCTATTTTTTTCAATAGCGCCCAAAGGACGTTAGACTTATTTGAAGACTTGCGGCCTATCACAATTTAAGAAAACCATAAGAAAGTTATTGTTTAGTTAGCAAACAAACTTTCCCAAAATGCGGGAAACTTAAGGGTACAACTTAAGGGGAGAACAGAAGTACATTCAAATTATTAGGGATAAGCAAATGGTAAAATACTGCGACCAATGACTCACTGTGGTAGTGACACTACTGGGACAGTTGAGGCAATGATGCAGAAGAGTTAGATGTGAGACTGTTACACCGTGAGCAGGACGAGAAGTGCGGGACATCCTCTACCAAAGACTTGCCAGATGGGTCTCCCATCCTAAGGCGAACCGAGACATTATTAGTCTGCAAGCCATTAGTCCACGTCGACGATAGGAAAGGAATAAACTGCGAAGAGTTTTAGGGTAAAAAGCGACAGTTCTGTTGTACTTGTTTATCACTGGGAGCCTCACACCTCCTTCCTGTATCTCTCAACTGTAGAGGTTCTTAATTTGAGATCATTTACAGATACATAAGGACATTAGCAAAGAAAATACTGAAACATCATCCAGAAAATACCTTAGTAAGGTGGTAATGGTTATCATCTCCGGTCTTAGTTCTCTGTTCCTCAAGTGTTAACATGTAGCTTTTCTTGTGAGTCGTTGTCCCACGCACAGAGTAATTTACACATTAATAACACCCAAAATTAAGATTCTTGGTATGAATACTATTGTCACTAACATTATTGAATGTAAACTATCTTCTGACTTAATAATGGCCCTTCACTACAATGCTCTCATCTTGGTGCCGTCTGCTGCTGTCCTGGAATGTTTACTCTTCTTGATACTGTATTATTGTTTCTCAGTAGATTGTCTTTCTTAAATCCAACTCATCCTTATTGATCTAATATTCATTGCCTATCTTTTAAATTTTATCTAAGGTATATCTCAACACTCAGCTGCTACATCATCACTCTCTGGACACCATACAGTAACCCCTTATGATAATAGCTGGTAGTGGATCATCTTTTCACCAATTTGATTGTTGTCTTCTTGTTTTCCTTTGTCTTTTCCCACACAGATTTGGAACAATGAATTTCACCCTGTTCATGTTGTTTAACTTATATTGTACAATCCTCATAACAGAGGAAGTAAAACTATAAAAACTATGTTTAGAAACTATACTAAACACGACGAACACTTAAGGGAGATTTATTTGCCCATTGTAAATTGTTACAAACTTAATAATCAAGGTTCTGATCCTTTCAACTGTGAGTCTTTCATTAAGGCTGGTAACCTCGTGTAATCCAATGTGGACCTTCGGTAGAGCAATACTGGAGCGTAATGACGTGGGGTCTGTGAGGTGGGACACTTGGCCAGTGCTGGCGCTGGTTGGGGGCTTCAGTGCAGCCCAGTTCCTCTTCTATGTGGTGGCCCCAGCAGTCATCCGTGTAACCTCTGCCACCGCCCTCAACCTGGCCCTCTTCACGGCCGACTTCTACATCCTCATCACTGGCATTGCATTCTTCAGGTTCAAGGTATAGTGTTTACAGTGTTACTCGTTCATTCCACTCACTCACGCACACACACACTGTATTCACTCACACACTCTACTCACTCATACACCACTCACTCACTTACTCCACTCACTCAGTCACCAACATACAATTACTGGAAGCGTAATAAATGTTAATTATGGAACATGATCAAGATTGGGAGAAACCAGAAAATAGTAGAGATCATTGTCGTAAACTTTTGGAAACTCAAGAAATATCAGAGGACAGATCAGTGACTTAAACTATTGATTTGTGGTGATGGAGATTATAACTATATAAATTGTAAAGGTTTATATAGTATTTGGGACTAAGTGAGTTAAGATGGTAGAGTATTGGAAAGTTGAAGAATATTGAAATCTGTGAAAATAATATAGGCCGAGAAAAGTGTTGGAGAATGGGAGTCTTGTAATTACCATACCATAAATTATTGGAGAATGGTGGGTTTATCACCACACCTTAAGTGTTGGAGAATGGTAGTGTTGTAAGTAACACCCAACTTTAAAGTAATGTCAGGGGCGGATCCAGGGGGGTCCTAGTGGTCCGGAACCCTCTTTTCATCAGAAAATCCCAATGCTTCTTCAATGCAGTATTGTACTTTAGCGTTTTTGTATAGTAAAAGGTAATTACTATTGACCTCAGAATATCTCTTAATATCAAGTGCGCATGGCTTCAAAATGACCTCAAAATGCTCATGACATTGGTTAGATTAAACAAAAACGGGGGGGGGGAGGCTTAGAGCGTCCCTCCAAAGACCCCCTTGGACCCCTTCCCCCCTTTTGATATTTCTAGATCCGCCTCTGAATGGAGTATGGTAGAGTCTTGTAACACTGTGCCTCACCTCCTTCATTTGTTTCAGTTCCATCCACTGTACTTCCTGTCGTACATCCTGGTGGTGACGGGCGTCATAGTTTTTGTCATCAAGCCTACACCCATTGCCTCCACAAACAGAGGTTACTACAGGTGCGTGACTCAATGTGATGCTCTACAGTATAATTTCTGTCTTTCTTGATTTTTATGTGTTACTTATACTTGATTTACTGCACACAAGAAGGTGAGAGGACTATGGACAATAGATAGATATAGTCATCGCTCAGTTTACACCATGCAAAAATAAAATGTGTCAAACAAATGAAAAGCTCTTGGGAAAGGGGTAAGGCGTACAGCTGACCTCCATCAGTCATACAATAAGTTAATACGGCATACTGTACAAGCAACAAAACATTACATTAAAAAATTTAATATTTAAATTTATTACTAACCCTTACTGATGATGATACAGTGTTCACAAGAGAGGATGCAACTAACCTTCCTGCGTTTGAGGACAGACGGTTCGACATAGCACTGACCCACATTGTGTTCACTGAAGAGGGCATTAGAAATAAACTGTCCAGGCTAAAGGGCCATAAAAGTCCCGGATCTGACATGGTGCATCCTAGAGTGCTAAGAGAGTTGTGCAACGAGCTTGCAGAGCCCTTGAAGATCCTGTTTTGTAAATGCATGGACGAACAAATGGTCCCCAGTGAATGGAAAGTGGCTTATGTGAGTCCTGTCTTCAAGAAGGGCGATCGTCACTCCACGAACAACTATAGACAGGTGAGCCTGACCAGCATAATATGTAAAGTACTTGAGAGTATTATCAGAGATGCCGCGATGGAACATCTAATACGAAACAACCTTGTAAAAGATTGCCAACACGGTTTTATGCCGGGGTGCTCCTGATTAACACAATTGCTCAAGGTATTGGATATTTGGACCCATATTCTGGAATGGGGTGGTAATATCGACAATATTTACTTAGATTTTGCCAAGGCTTTCGACAGTGTACCCCACGAAAGGCTTAAAATCAAACTGGAAGGGTACGGAATTCGGGGAAGTGTCCTTGCGTGGATAGAAGACTTTCTACATGACCGCAAGCAGTGTGTGGTGTTTAATGGTACGAAATTGTCATCTGTACCTGTCACAAGTGGGGTACCACAGGGCAGTGTATTGGGCCCGCTGTTGTTTGTTTGTTTCATAAATGACATGCCTGACGTTGTACACTCCTCCATACAAATGTTTGCCGATGACGCCAAGTTATTTCGGGAAATTAAGAACCAAGCGGACTGTGAAGAGCTGCAGAAGGATCTCTGTGGGCTCCAGGAATGGTCGAAGAAATGGCTGCTGAGATTCAATGTCACGAAGTGTAAGAGGATGCACCTGGGGCGTACCAACGGTAAGAAGACTGTGTTGAGACTGTTGAGACTGTGTGTGAGAAGGACCTAGGTGTGTATGTTGACAATGAGCTGAAGTTCTCAGGCCATTGTGAGAAGAAGGTAAATCAGGCAAATACAGTAAATTATTGGGTCTTATAAGAAGGTCGTTCAGATATCTAGACGGTCCGTCCCTCGTAATGATCTTCAGGAGTGAAGTGCTTCCCCATTTGGAGTACTGTCACCCTATCTGGTCCCCGAGATATGCTAGGGACTGTCAGTTGGTTGAAAATGTTCAAAGGAGGGCCACCAGACTGGTGCCTGCACTTCGGCACCTCAGCTACCCTGAGAGATTGGAGCGCCTGAACTTGCCTAGCTTATACTACAGACGGGCAAGGGGGGACCTAGTTGAGGTGTATAAGCATCTCAGGGGGCACTACTCAGTTGAGTGTCCTTACTTGGAGCTGGCGGACTCGCCCCACAAGGGGTCACAGCTCAAGATTGAAGAAGCCGCAAGTCCAGAAAACCGTGAGGGCAAACTTTTTTGGAGTGAGGGTTGTAAACTCTTGGAACAATCTACCAGAGAGTGTTGTGACGGCACCGAGTGTGAGCTCTTTCAAGACAAGACTTGACCAACACTGGAGCGGGTTCAGGTACATTCAGGAGCCGGTGCATGCCCAGTATTTGCCAACAGTGCGTGACAGAGACGTGACCGATCGCCCGGGTGGCTAGCGAGCCGATCTTTTGGTGAAGAAGATAAATGAAAAGGAAAAGTAATCAGAGACGTGACCGATCGCCCAAGGGGCTAACAAGCCGATCAGTGGCGAAGAGGATAAAAGTAAAAAGTAAAAGTAATGAACTTGATATGGTGATGGTGTTGAAGTCTGAAGTTCAGGAATTCATCTGAACTGCTTAGGGCAAGGAATATAGAGGTTCTTTGGCCTGGGGAGTGTGGAATAAGCTGTGGGGGTAATTTCGGTCAATATTTAGAGGTTGCCATGCACGGAAATTACTATGGAATATAGGTTTTTATAGTGTATTACATACAAATTTGACCTTCGTTTTCATCGGAAGTGAGTGGTTATGAAAATATGAGTCATATCATATGACACCCCCTCCCAATTACCATTAGTATTGGTTGCACAAGTGTGTAGAGCTTTGAAGTAGAGGGAAATTGTGGGGTAAAAAAAAAAATGATGAAACGCAGCCTAACAAAACCTCGTAACCAGAGAAACCAGTAGGGCCTGACCTAACCTCCTAGCACCCCCCCTTACACCCCCAGATGCTTATACACCTCAATTAGGTAGCCCCCTTGCCCGTGTTTAATGTCTCTTGATTTGAGTGAGTACACCTGGCTGTTGTCAACTACACATACACATTTAATGGCTGGCTGATGTGGTGTTTAACAGAATGAGATTTGATTTAATCATACTAATCTTTCAGGGAAATCTCAGTGGGTCGTTCGAGTAGTGGAAATGAGGTGGAACTGACGACGACCCCAGGTACAGCCACCAGTAGTATGGGTGGTGGTGCTTCCTTCACTGAGTGGCCGCCACTCCCACCTGAGGTTAGGGGATGTCCCGACTACCCCTACCCACACTCTCACTCCACCGAATTCAGGCAAGGTTAGTCCAAACCTGCATTAGTCAGTTTTATCTGTATGCATAGAATTTAATATCTGAGTTTAGCAAGGTCATCCCAAACCTGAAGTAAATATAATATGAGATTCCAGTTGAGGCAAGATCATTCCATACCTGTAAAAGTGGCATTTAATTCTTAACTTTAGGCAAGGTCAGTCCAAACTTTAGAATAATTTCCCAAGTTCAGGTAAGATCAGTTCAAATCTTCATAAGGGTCAACCATTGATAAAGATCTTGTAATAATTTTCTGGTTGAGATTTATAAAGGAATGGGAAATGTGATGCTTCTGGTGTTAGCAGATTGTTAATTTTAGTTCACCATAAATTATTATTTAGGTAAAACTGTAGATGCTTCTCAGACACCTCAGTACAGTAAGATGACCCACTAAAGATGTAATTTAACATGTGTACAGTTGGAGATATAGTATACAGTACTTTTTGTGCACTCCTGGAATTTATACATCTCAAGATTGTTCTCTGCTAGCATGGAATCCACAGTTAGAATACTGACTTAGTTTTTTGTAAAATTGCCAATTTGATTTAGTATAGATTAGGATAATTTAGGTAAGGCTGTTTTGATGTTCATTGTTTGTCTAGTCTGCTTTATTAACTGCCAATATGTAGTTACACGATTGTCCAGTCATGCAGCAATAGTGTGTTGTGACTTAGTTGTTAATATATCTGAAGGTCCATCCAGCAGGGGTATTCACTAAGGGGAAAATTTAGATGACTTTTTTAGTGTAGTATTTAGAAGACTGCCTTTAACAACTATCTGGACAAGAAAGCCAAGACAGTTTACGTTTCAACTTTGCATTATTTTTTTTGCCTTATTTTTTGCCTTATATTGCTTTATTTTGTGAAAATGACAAAATACAAAATATCAGCAAACGGAGAGGGAATCATGTCAAGTGGAACGAGATCCAGATCTAATTCTCTTACAAAGAGAAGCGACGAAGAAGATCAAGATATATGGACGTGCTATGTATGTGAACAGGATTTCACGGATGAAAATGCTCAATACGTACAATGTGAGTACTGTAAACTTTTATTGCTCCAGTTGCTTGAATCTGTCCAAGCACGATTATGTTCATTTCAAAAACCCTCCACTTCACTGGTTCTGTACAAATTGTGAGGAAAAGTGATGAGAAATATTAGAATGGACAGGGAAGTTAAGAGGAGATATACGGAATTATTTAAAACCATGGAGAGTAGATTGGTGCACTTAGAAGAGGAGATGAATTGTAAGGTAGACCTTGAGTACATAAAAGAGCTGATTGGTGAGAGATTGAAGGTGGATGTGTTGGTAAGTGGTGAGTCTAGTAATAATACTGTGGAAATGGTGGTTAGTCAGGCATCAGGAAATTAGTACTGTACCAAAATGGGGAGTACAGTAATTGGTATTGTATGAAGTAAAAGAAACATATGATGCAAATGTGGCTGATTGGAAGAAATTAAAACTAAATTTGGGGGAAGATTAGAGACTTTATTGAGGGAGAAAAGTTTATGATCAAGAATGTTATTACAATTTGGAAAAGAAAGAATATAAAAGATAACACTAGGAGAATGAGACCTGTCCATGCAACAGTGTAAGGTAATAAAAATGAGAAGAGTGTGAAGAAAACTTTTTGAAATTGCTCTACGATATGTCTCGCCTAATAGTGATCTCCAGAAAGAAACAAAGAAAAGATGGAGGAAATGAAAACTATAATGGAGAAGAAAAACCAGAAGATATTCAGGTTTAGAGGTCCACCATGGACAAGGAGATCCACAAGGACTGAAGTATATTAGGAATGATGCATACAGTATAACTCACAAGAATCCTGTGTGTAAGGTTTTTATAGTTTCAAAGTGATTTTTTTTGTGTGTGTGTAGAATATTCTTTTAACAAGATTAGCGAGTTCAAGGCCGGGCTCATACTTTGAGAAGCAAGACTCGACGTCATTGCAAAAATAGAGGTGCCTGATTTACTCAAGAACTGCAGTTACAGGTTAATGAAACTAATATTGCACTAAATGAATAAAACATATGACATTCCCTGAAACTTTCCCTCAGGGGCCCATTATAATACAGTACTGTTGTGTATTTTGAGTGAGATCATCAGGCAGGTTGTACAGCGGTAACACATGTCTCTCTCACCAATACTCATATGTCAAGGGTTCAAATCCTGCCTCGGTCCAGTTACATTTGAGAAGGTTTATCTCCAGTGTGACCCTACCAAGTATCACAGCCTCCTATTTTCTCCTGTACTAACACTGGATAGACCAACCGCCTAAATAGCTAATAAGCTGATAATTGGTGAAATTTACATCAAATTATCATTTAGTAAGAGTGTATGGCTTAGAATAAGATAAACCTTAAAGACAATGATGATATTTTAGATTCATTGTTCATAAACCACAACTTTAGAGAAAGCTCATTGAGTATTAAGGGATTTGATACAATTAGTGAAATAGAGAGATCATTCTCATTTACAGGCATCTTCATTACAGAAACTTTCAGTTTTCATATGCTGACTGGACTACTGTACTTGATCAGAGAGATGAGGACAGTTTAGCTGTTCTGGCACAAGTGAGGGACTACTGTGTACATCAGATTGTACTTAAGTTTATAAATTCCAGAGTTAATGAAGAACCCTTGTTACTTTATATATGATGTTGCTGAATGGCAAAAATCTTTAAAAGAAGTGTAGACAGTCTTAGCATATATGTCACGTTCTGTGCTCGTGATATTTGTACCCTGAAATTTTATTTTAAGCATCCTTATACAGTATAAATAAACACAAGTGTCATGCTCAACTGATGAAATGCTTGAATTAATGAGCTGTACAAGTTTATAAAAAAAAAATCAGTTCATTGAGCTGCAAGGGAAAGTTTTCTCAATAAAAGACACAAGGCACTGGGAGAGGTTTATGGAAACCAGAGATGATATTAGAAAGTGAGAGTTGTGAACTCTTGGAACACTCTGCCATAGAGTGTTGTGATGGCACCGAGTGTGAGCTCTTTCAAGACCAGACTTGATCAACACTGGAGCAGGTTCAGATACATTCAGGAGCCAGTACATGCACATTACTTGTCAACAGTGTATACCAGAGATGTGACCGACCGCCCAAGTGGCTAACGAGCCGATCAGTGGCGAAGAGGATAAAAGTAAAACTAGAGATTAAGAACATTGCAAAGTTCACAGGAAAGTAAGCTGACTAGTGAGAAGATGTATAAAAAAAATAGGAGATAGTTCTTTGAAAAAATTTCCTAGAAATTTTGGAAATAGTGTACTGTACAAATATTCAAAAGGAGGATAATAAATTCAAATTTTAAGAGCTACAGGTGAAGGTGAATGTAAGTTTACATGAACTTTACTTTATAGTGTTATATTTTAGATGGTTCAGATGCAGACAAGAAAAAATTGTTAGCCACAGTTTTCACTCATGTTTTTTTACAAAAGATGATGATGAACAACTGCAGACTTTAAAGTATTCGTATTAAGTTAGAGAAGTGATTCAATCATCCACTTACCTGCAAGGAAGTCAGGAAGTTGTTGTGTGATTTGATTAGATAAAAACCCCAGAGATCTAATGTATATCCAGAATATGAATCTACAGATGTGATTAATGTACAGGGTACCTCTTTGTATTTTTTTTTATAATTCTTTTGATAGTGGAATACAGTACAGTACTTACAGTGCAGTAGAGAGATTGAGATGCCTCATACACGGGATCAAACATACCACCAGACGGGGGGATGGGGGGGGGGTGAAGAGTATTAAGAGTGAGTATGAATAAATACACACACACACACACACACACACACACACACACACACACACACACACACACACACACACATCAACAAAGTGAACTGAGAACTGAGGCTTATTAGATCATTTGTATGTTTGGACCATTAAACATAGGCACTGGGTTTGGTCTTGAAGCATGAAACTCTGGGTCTGAGTTTAAGGATTAGTTTTACCTATATTTTTGCATGTATCATAATTAGTTTCAAGGTTTTATCAGACCTTTGGAGTTTAATGTAGTAAGTTTAAGTAGGAACCATACGATGAATGGCTGATCTCGGCCACCATGAAACTACTGAAGATGGAGCCACATGTACACCATCAAAGACATATGACATAGTACAGTAAATTAGAATTCCTGGTAAATGTCATTCATGTTTTATACCATCAGTTTAGTGCCATTGAGCAAACGTTATTGATTTTTAAAGCAAATATATGGCTTAAATTCAACTCATTTGAAATAAGTATAATATCATGAACTAACACTGTACGGGTATTTGTTTTATTGTCCGTACACTGGAATTTAAACCACACACCGTCAGAAACTTATGATACCGGGGTACATAAAAGCTACAGCACATCATATACTCATATATGCATTCACAGAGTGGCGGATATCTGAAGAAAATAAAATCTGCAAAAATGATAGTGACCAACAATTGTCATCTCATGAGTGACGAAGATAATTTGTACTGGAGTACACAAACAATGAAATTTGATTTTCAAGTTGATTAGGTATTAATTATCTTGAGCAAAAATGGAGGAAACAAACCTGACTGATATGGATTTGGATACGAAGATTCAGCTGCTCCTGTGGTCTGTTATAAACTATTGGAGGCCTAAGTTTGAGAACTGTCTGTACAAGAAAACCATTAAGGACTGTTAATGCTTGCTTGGTCTTCTACACAGTACCTTCCAGGATATAGATGAATATGGTGTCATCATCCCAAAGAGAATGTTTGTGCACCTGTACATGGAGTATTGTGTCCAGGGGTAGTCACCACACTTGAAGAAAAACAAAAAGTATGTCACTATGCTGGCTCCCATATGATTATACAACAATAAGTTGATAGACAGGGAGAGAAGAGACTGCAGTGACATATGTTTCAGATTCTGAAAGAGGAAGCACACCTCAATGGCCTCCAGGAAACTTGCTCTCTCCCTCTACAAGCCAATACTTCCATTGAACCTTGTAAAATATGCTTTATATATTGAGCTGCGGAGTCTTGGAACAACCCTTAATCTTGTGTTTAGATCAAGATTTATTGAAAACTTTAAGAAAAGATTTGATCCTTACATGAGGGCAGTAGACCAGGAGGTGGGAAATGATATCTACTGTGATAATTACTGTAATGCAAATCTGAACAGCTTATTAGTACTGTACTGGACATCATTTGATATGAGAAAGCCATTAAGAAATTATAATATGAGAGATACAGTAAGAATTGATACTGTAAATGAGAAAGCCTTTAAAAACTATGTGTACAGCCGTCATAAACTGATGATGAGGTTTTCGGCTTAAACCTTAGAACATAAGCATCATACTAACAAGAGATGAAGTGACTATGTAGTGAGAATGAATGGAAATGATTTAGATTTTCCTCTGAGTTTGTTATACTGTACTTCAACCAATAACTAAAAATGATGACCCTCCCTCCCTCATTAGCATGACAATTAAGCACTGCTGTTTCAGTGTGCATTAAATTTTGCATGAGTCATTTATTTTATATATTTTTAGTATATTTTCCACACGACTGGAAATTCACTGACATATTCCCCTGAGTATTAATCTTATTTTGCTTGACTGAAGCATTTATGTTCTAATATAGATATAGTTTGATTTCACAATTAATGTAATCCATTTATTTAAAGGTGATGCCTTGTATAAATTGTATATGAATTATATGCTTGATGGTGTTATATCAACATCTCATCCCCCAACATAACTTGTCTATGAGAAAAAACTAATTATTTGTATGGTTACCAAACTGGTGTAAGAAGAATAGGTATGACACAGGTTTTTTTCTCATAATATTTTACAAATTTATGATATTTTCTTATCAAAGTAAATACCTGTACAGTACAGTACCTGTGTAAGATACCAGTAGAAACAGGTAACATTATCTAGATCATAGAGCAGTAAGTAGTCACACAGGAGCTGATGATCACAAACTATTGCCTCACACATCAGTCAGAGTATGTAAGCGCTGCCAGTATTGTCCCTCAGCGCAGTATGATGTAACTGATTATGATTATAATATAATATTTTTAATACGTGTATACTTTTTAACTCTTTCCCAAGCACCTGTACTATTTTTTTTTATAAAAGAGAAAATATATTCAGTTGTAAATGAAAGTACAAGGGTGTTTCAGAGCAGTTTATGTTATCTGTACTGTAATAAAGGTTCATGTTTATACACAAGTGCAGTGCTCCCAGTCAATAATTAGCCAGCCAAGGAAGTGATCGGTGGAGATTAGAATATCCTAGACTTACCTGAGAGGATTGCAGGAGTTTCATACAGCTTTTTATCAAAATTTATTTGTACAAGAAATATGGTTCGTACAGTAAAACCCTCATAATCCAAAATAACGGGGACTCTAGCCCTTTCGAATTATGAGATTTTACAAAATATGAGGGACACCTTCTCTCAAAGGGGAAAAAAAGCCGTTTTTTTTTTTCTAAAAACCAGTTTTTGTGATGTAGCTCATTTAGGTGCTTGGTCCATGGTTATCAAATATATTGGCTCAAACTTCGGGCAATGATAGAAAAACAAGGGGAAAAATGCTTGCGCGTTAGACCGTAGATATACGCTCCATGACTGACCAACACGAACTAACTGTAACTAACATGTGTGAAACGTAAAGTAATACTTTTGTACTCTGAGGTGGGTGATCGGTGGTCACACCCTGTGGCGACGTGTGCGTCATTCCTAAATGTCTCTCGTAATCTAAAATTTTCCTAATATTACGAAAGTTGTAATATATATATCTAAATGTTTCAAAATGTCTCATATTTGGAAATTTTATGAAATACGTACTGTACTGTATTACAAAATTTTGAATATATATTTCATAAAAGCAAAGCATTACGAATTATGTGTGATTTCTAATTAGAGGGTACGAATTATGGTGCATTTACTGTACTGTACAGTAAGTCCTCGCTTAACGTCGGGGTTATGTTCCTAAAAACTCGACATTATACAAAACGACGTTAAGTGGATCAATTTTCCCCATAAGAAATAGATAAAATACGGGAGTCACGTTCCTGAGCCTCTCTTTGCCCCATGAAATACATTACATATACAGTACAGAAAATCATTGCCATTTCTATAGAAAATAGTGCATACATATAGAACTACTAAGTTTGTATTGGTACTCACCGATGGGCAGAGGTGGTAGAGCGAGTGTGTGGTGGGTAGTGAAGCGGAGGAGGCGGGAGGGGAGGAGTATGGAGGGAGGGGAGGAGGAGGGTAGGAACGGAGGAGGGCGGGAGAGGAGGAGGGTGGTGAATCACTGAGACTCTGCGCCGAGCCAAGAGAGAGTAGCGGGGCCAGACGAGAGAGGGTGATGTGCCATAGAAAGTAGTCCGTGACGACGCAAAACGACGTAGTATCGGATCACCGGAACGTTAAAAGAATTTTTGGTCTCTAAAGTTTAGCGACGTATTACCGAAGCAACGTTAAGCGGGACGACGGCAAGCGCGGACTTACCGTTGTGATTTTTTTTAATACCATTATCCTCATTACATATTGGATAGCAATTACTGTATGATTTTCAACCACTTAAATAGTTATTGTTTTAATGCATAGTACAGTGGAGTCTTGATAATTTGCAAAATACAAATTTATGTTGTTAAATTTGCTGGTACTGTATTATCTCGTTTTAAATTTTGTGGATTCAAAATTCGTGGCCGAGAGCCGGCTGCGGCAGTGTTCACTGGGTATTTACATAAGAAACCGTAAAAGTTGTGAAAATATCATTTAATTACTCTAATTTGACTTAGAAATAAAGAAAATATAATATAAAACTATAAAATAAGAAAAATGAGAAGTACCTGTAGTAAGTGGGAGGTAGGGTGGTTGCGTGGTGGACTGAGCGATCCCTTCCTCCCACCTCCCTTCCCAAGCCTTATGCTCCCCACATACCTCATTAATACAACATTATGCAATTTCACCATAATTCCCTTATACAGTAAGTGTATGTAGGTTCATTTGGTGCTGGGTTGATAAAACATTATCATAAAGTACGCTAATAAATTTTCACACAAAAAATCCCACACTCGACCCCAAATGAGTTATTGTGTGGTATTAAATTCCTGGTTCTTTGTTGACATAGTGCAGTCTCAGCCAGCTTGGCACCTTCCTGTTTTGATGTTGGTGTACTGGTGTAACCCACACGAAATTATGAAAAGGGAAGGAGCTTTTTATATACTGAACTGGAGTCATCTCGAACTACATTTTGTACAATATCTATTTGTTACTGTATTTCTTTCTGATTTATAAATGATGTTTAGTATTTATTAAAGCAGTTTATGGGTATTTCTTGGCCTCTGAAATCAAACTAATTATTTCCATTTAAATCAAGGTATGACTTGCAATTTGATAATTCACAATGTCTTCTGGTCACCAAACCTGCAAATTATCAAGACTCCACTGTATTTAGACACTTCATTTGCTAAGGTCATAGTTTCTACACTAGACAACAACTGTCAAAAGTCATGACAAATTTAAACACCCAGCAAAATTTTCATGGAGTGAAGTAGGATCATTAGGGAGGTTAATTATTATTTGTTATACATTTATCACCATTTTTAATAGTATAGGAAAGAAATAAAATAAACATGAATAACATTTATGCATAGACTGAACTTTAAGGTCTTTCATATTGTACTGAGTCACTTCAACTGTCTTCTGGGCTGGAATAAGATCTGCATGTACTGTATATGATGATAAACATTATAAACTTGACACTGATAAATCTATTAAGTATATCTGTACAGTATTCATAGTAGCTGTTGTGTCCTCTCTTATAATTAACTGCAGTAGGTAAGTCATGGGCTCCTTGATCACCAGCCTCTTCAGTTCATCTCCCTAAATAGTTAGTAAAATCTCTAACTCTGTATACAGCATTGACCTTATTTAATACATGAGAAAGAAAGATTTGATAATTACAGGACACAGAGAACATCGCCAGGTAAAAGTCTGGCTCTTCTCTGTTGTAGATACTGTTTAGAGCTAGAACATTTTGTTATCCTTTTACTGGTCTTAAAATCTATTTTATGAACCTAGCAATTTTTAAGCCATTTCCCATAATTAGTGTGATGGCAACCTTCAAGTGAGAAGGGGATAGCTTAGCCTGGGTTATTGACGTACCTGTACCATCTAGTGGCTGGTTCAGTGCACAGCCCACACCATCATCTCTGCCTTGTAATGGAATTGAACATTGTGTATTTTGTGTTAAGAAGCCAGGGCACTACCAGCTGTACTGTATATAGTTCAGTTGAAGACAAATTTGTGCTTCATAAACAAATTTGATTAAGGTTTCATTTACAGCTTTTCTCAAAGGAATGAATTTTCAGGGTCGACTGCAACTCCTGTCCCAACTGAATATCCAAGTACTCCCCCATCACCTCCTCAGCAATTTAGATCATTGCCAAGGCCAGCTCGTCGTGAACAATATCCGGGTGGTGGCATGCCCGGAGGCCAAAGGGCTGCAACTCTCCACCGCCCAGCGCGGGTACGTTTCCAGCTTGAGTAAGGGTCGCCTCGCTTCTTGTTCGCTTTGGTGCAGAAGTGAACCCAGGAGTCTTGCTAGTGTATGTACTTACTTACACAAAATATATATATAAAGTACAGGGTATTATTGATATGAGTAATGTTTTTATAAATTTTTATCATATTTTGTAACTTAGAATTCTAATATTCTCCTGATTGTCATTTTTTTTTTTTTTATAAGAACAGATTTTTTAATGTCAAAAGCTATAATTCCTTATGATCTTCAGCATACTCCTGGATCCACAACTGTATTGGCTTTGCTTTACTATGTCGAGTGCACAATGATTTTTACCTGCATCAAGCTCATGCTTTTTGTGTACTGTATTTGCTGAAATGCTACCTAGGAGTGTTTTTGTGGGGGTGGTAAGAAGCTTTGTGCATTCGTCTTTCTGTGGAATTAGAACCTTGCCATTGTAGTCAAAATATTTATATATGTGTTATTGTATAAAATATTTCTTAGTCATGGTTCCATGAAAGTCAGTCTAAATATATATTTTTTTGCATCTATGTACTGTATCTTCATTTCACACTATATTTTACAAACTAGTTAAACTACATAAATTGATGTTTTATAACACATACAGTTAAACTTCGATAATTCACTGCTAATCCAGAGGGGATGTGTATAACTGAGGCACTTATCTTTTTTTTTTTTTTACATATATTGTACAAACTTTCTCCTGCTATGAAGCAGGGTGGCTGGACAGTAGCTGATCTGATTCTTAGCCATCACCAACTAATGGGTTACACAACCCACTTGGTGGGATGCTAATCCACCGAAAGAGATGTTCTGCCATCAGCAAGCTCGCCTAAAAGTGCACATCTTTTGTCGCTGAGTGCACAGAGACTAGTGTACAAAGATGGAACCCACTCATCTCATCCAGTTGGGAATCAAACTTGTGATCATATACTTGTGAGGCAAATGCTCTAACAACTGAACTACAAAACTATTTCTTTTCTATTTATCTGTTTATATTCTTGGTGCTTCATACCCTATGGAAACTCCCCATAATGAGGTAACAGTACTGCCCTAGCCTGTTTTCGTTCACTTATAACATGACATAACCTCTTCCCTGTGTATCCCCTCTCCCTTCCCTTACAGGATGTTGCTGCCTTTGTTACTCCTTCACCTCTTGTACCACATTGTCATTAACTGACTTTACCTTTGTTATTATCTGTCCTTCTCTCAGCATGACCAAACTACATTAAGGTAATTCTCCCATTACCCTATATACTGTGGTTTCATGATGTTAAGAGTTTGTTGATAGACTGTTTCATAAAATGCACACCAGAAGATTTTTTGTCCCTCTCTCAGGTGAAGGAATCATAACAATCAATGAAGACTGGGTGACAAGGACCAGTCAAATGACCGCCAAAGTCTCCGGACTTGATACCTTTTGATTTCTTCCTATGGGGTCACTTGAATGGTGCTTGGATGATCTTGATAGATGATAAAATCAGGTGACCCAGAGGAAGATATCAAGAGGTGTGAAGTCTGGTGACTTCAGTGGCAATTTGATTGGTTCTCGTCACCTAATTTTTATTGATTTGTAAAGATTCCTCCACCTGAAAAAGAAAACATGCATTTTCTTATGGTGTACACCTCATGAGACACCATGTACAATAGGGAAGTGAGGCTCTGCTGCCCTGTATTGATGTTTTACCAGTGTGAGGGCTTAAGCAATCTTAGATTAAGTATAGTCACTCCAGTATATATATTTAAGAACTGCCATTAGTGCTGTGCTGAGTTAAACGTGAAAAAGGATGTGGTTGAATCCTAGGGACAAATACACTCAAATAGAGAGGCTAGTGAGCTATGGTAGTCTTTGTCACGCCTCAACACAATACTGTACTAAGAATACAGTGCAGTATATAATTCAAGTTTTTATTATGTCAGGTTTCATATAGGTTTCATCATCAAAATCACATTTAAAAAAAATCAGAGAAATCACCACTGAATTTTCCTTACATTCTTAAATTTTAAAACCTTATACATATTTATTATCTAATTATATACGGTACTGTATAAAAAAAAGTTTAATTTGATTAAAATGGTAAGTGCTCATGTGAAAATTAATTTTCTTTGCAAATGCTGCAGTACACCAGACTTAAGTTCAATAACTATTCTATGAATTCTGGAGACCTTCATAGATTCTCAGGTATTGTACAAAAAATGCTGATTTTTTATAATTAAGATACTGTACTTGCTGAAATCTGGAGAGCATCCAAATACTCTGTATATTCTTGAAAATTTTAAATACACCTGTATTGTGGTACTGTACTAACATATTATACTGTACTGTGGTGCATATAATCCAGCACACTGATCCCTATTTACTGAGTACTGTACTGTACTGTACTGTACTGTACTGTACTGTACACTGTATCTTAGAACTCATTAACAGCTCTAATAGTTTACATAGTAAATGGGCAGTTGTTTTATATCTTGCAGTTTAATATATTATATAAAAAATAGTATTTCAGTGGCAGTCAGTTTCTGGGTTGACTAATTATTGTAATCTACAGAAGTCTGCTATGAACACTTTCCAAGTTAGGTATATGATGGTTTAGCAGTCTGGGTTATTATAACTACATATACAGTACAGTAGTACTGTACTGTAAATGAAGAAAAATAATGGATGAAAGAATGCAGAAACAAACTTCTAGGATGCAGACATTTTCATGTTTATTTGGTGCATAGTCACTACGACACAGTTTGATGAAGCAGTGTTACATTGCATATTGTAAGGTTCAGCTGTAATAGGATGATTTTGTAACAGTTTTATGGCTAGACTCATTAAATATGTGTAAGTAACATTATATAATGATAGACAGTAAGCCCACAGTTTCCATAGGTGTTCCGTGCCTGCAGAATTATGTGGATATCAAATCAACAAAAATAGATATGAGTAACCCAAGGAAGAAAATGGATTGGGTTTTGGGCCCTACAGTCCACTAGGTTTACCAATAAGGAAAGCTTACTACCATATTATTGTAAATGTTTTGAACTTCGGATCCTTAGTGTCAGGTGTGTATTCAATCAAGGTGGAGGTTCAAAGGGGGTAACTGCCCGAGGGGTCCATGGAGGCAGAAATATCTTTTCTCATTGTTGGCTCATAGTGAATGTCTGTCACATGGAATTTAAAATCAGCTTCAACACAAGACAATCAGTGAGGACCAGGGATGGAGTGAATATGAATATTTCTAATTTCTAGGAATACAAATACAAAAGCATTGTCACTTGGAATGCAAATACTTTTTGAAAGTATTCATGAATGCATTCGTGAATATTTTGGGTTAAAAAACTATTTTTTTATTGCTATAAGTATGGTATGTAGTGGTAATTGATTTTATGATTGATATTCAATATACCAAACCTGTCCTGTGTAGATACTGTATATTTATTTATACTTTCCTGGTACAGGTAGTTAGAAACTACTTATCATCATTAGTTATTATACTAAACCTACTCTACACTCCTAGACAGGCTGCAGGCAGCCAGTGTTGCTGCCATTTAGCAATTAAAAAATCTAAGTATACAGTACATACATAGTACATGTTTGGCACACACAGTGATGACAGTTGAGAGTTGCATGCTATTTACTAACAGTCTGTTTCAATATTTAATTCACTGTACAGTATATATAGCTTCTCGGGTGACTCGGGGCATGGATTTAATAAGCAGATTGTACATCCAAAAAACTCTCTGTCTTCGTTCATCCAAAATAAATTCACCAGCCAAGTGTATGGTTATTTCTATCAATAAAGCTTTTATTATTCATCAGATTATCCTACAAATATGAATACTTTGCCCAAGGATTCGAATAGGAATGCACATATTGTATACAGTACTTGGATTTCTAAAAGTAATGTACTTACTGAATTTAAATACAAATACCTTGAAATGTTGAATTCGAATGCATTTGAATACAAATACTTCATCAATGATAAGAACCATAATGGAAATTAGTCTCTTGACTTTTTGTGTTATCCTTGTAGGTATATTATATGCACTGTACTGTACATTACGATATTTTTTTTTTTTTTTTGGCCACAGTTTACTGGCCATTCGGGCCTTCAGTCTCGTGTTGTTGCATGTTGCACCTCCATAGAACTTGTCTTCTCATCACATTTTTACGTGTGTTTTCCTGTATCTACGCTGTGATATCATTAAATTGGTCTTTAGAAGTGGAAGTGATTTGGGTAAAGGTTCTGTGAAGGGCCAAAAGCATAACTGTCTTATGAAATGGAGTAAGATACAGGATAGTTAAGCTGAGCCACACTGCATGGTTTGGTCAATAAGGCACATGAGGGCCCTAACCCCACCACAAACAACCTCCACACACTACTTTACCTCACCTCAATTTTACCTGCCTGCCTCTCTCACTGCTCATCAATTTTTGAGAAGTCTAGCTTTTTTGGACTGACTTTCTAATCAGTTACTCAGAAAACAGTTTTTAATGTATGTTTAAAAAAAAAAAAAAATATATATATATATATATATACATACAGTATAGTATATGTACAGTATATATATATATATATATATATATATATATATATATATATATATATATATATATATATATATATATATATATATATATATATATATATATATATATATATATATATATATATATATATATATATATATATATATATATATATATATACTTTCACATATACTTGATCTACTGTATAACTGCGATGTGCATTATTGCCATTAACAAAAATTTGACCATTTTATACCGTGGGTCTCTATCAATAAAAAAAATTTCACCCCACAAACTCAGGTGGCTGGATGATCTTGACAGCCAGGTATCCAATGAGCATTAGTTGGTGTACCAATATGGTGACCATTTTTCACTTTGTTTTGCGACATGTCATTTCTGAGTCACCGATGCTACATTTGTTTATGTTCATACCATTGGATTTGGTATAAATTTACTTGTTGATTAA